TATATATACATATATATATATATATATATATATATATATATAGCATTGGATAGATAGCTTCCAGTAAAAGAGGTTTGAAGGTCTCTCCTCCACATTACCGGTCCCGTTCTGCGATTTTTGGAACTGATATTCACACAAGCGCTACATATTTTTCCAAGAAAAGGCCGTTACAAAATTTGAAATTGCATACCAGCTTGTCAGGGGCAACAAAGCATTGCCTCTGGACAGAGAGTATATAGGATTCATGCACTTCTATGACCTCGTCGAGTGAACCTGCAGATGCCATGCCCTCACAGAGCTCAAGCCATGCACTATGAAGCACCTGAAATTATGACTATGATCAGATTCTCAGCAAATCTTTCGATGACATTAAGACCGATAGAGGTTCCAAAGAAAAAGCAGGACCTACCCTGTCCATGACATACTGGTGAAATGCATCCACAAAATGGAGAAGCTTCTGCTCCAGTAACAAGTGGCGCTTCTGGTTTATGTTTGTAGCACCTCTATCCTGAGACATGAAAAAAAAATTGAAAACAAGGAAAAGGAGAAACTAAGAAACAGGTAAGTTCTAGAATGATGGGTATTGTAGAATTCGCGTAGCATAAATAGTTACGAGGAAAGTGTAACATGCTATTTTAATGTACCAAATGCAGTTGGGGCACCAAGCAATCTGTTGTCAATGACAGTACAGATGATCCCCACAGTTCAAACATCAAATTATAGGTGTTCAGTGAGAACTACAGTTCGTTATACAACCCATTCTACCATCCATCTTGAGAATGGATATGTAGATTTCCTAGATGAGTGTGGAGCACTTTACACAGGACATGTATGGTATCATCATTGTCAAAGCTTTTTCCCAATTAATTGGGATCAGCTACACCAATCCTGCTCCACCATTCTGCTTTACCAAGGACCATACCATCAGTGAGGCCATAAGCCCCCATATTTTTTCTCTCTACTTCCAACCATGTTCTTTTAAGTCTACCTTTTGTCTTTTTTTAGCCTTCCACTTGAACCAAATCACAACTCCTAACAAATGCACTACGCCTGCGCCACACATGGCCAGCCCACCTAAGTCTAACACGTGCGATATACTTTTCATAGTTGCATAACTCATTTCAAGAAAATGCTTAAAACGTCAAGGAAAAAAGGTAGATATTGTTCCTAGACTTTTAAGTAGCAAACTAGCAGCTATTGCCAACCGGCCCCAAATAGTTGGCATAAGGATCCAATGATGATGAAACTTTCAGCTATGTCTATCGAAAGCTAGTGGGTGTAAATATATTCAACCCAGATAGCAATGAAATGTTTTCTTTTTTTATGTTTTTTGCCTTGCACACATGATTCCATGTCTCCCTTATTATGACCACAAACCACCAAGGGGTAGAAAGAAACCTTCCATGTCCACCTTCGAGCCTTATCAAGAACAAACTTTGCACGCTTCACCTTCATTAGGAAATTCATAACCTGCATAATAACAATATGTTAAAAGTCTTTAGAATACAGGAGGAGATTAGAAAAATGAGTTTCTGAGGCGATATTACCTGGTTATACTTCTTAATAGCCTCTTGATTAGCTATGAGCTCAAGGGGCCAAGACACCTGCCACATGAAATGCCTCATGAACATGGAAGCGTCTGAATGATAATGAAACAAACAATGGTTTGGTCTCTTGGCTTAGTGGTGAATGACTCACAAGGACAGCGCCACTAATTTCCTAAACTCACTTAACAGACATAAAAATGTCAACAGACATGCATACTTTGTATGTAAATTGAAGAGGATCAAGGGCACCAATGCCAAAAGAGTGGTTGCGGCTACTCTTTGGGGTTGAAACGGGGCTTAGAGCATGTTCACCATCACGAGCTGGATGCTTAGAGATAGTGACAACTAAGGAATCAGGGATACTTAAAAGCATCCCATCAGCAGAGTTCCGTATGGACTCCTGTATCATAGAAGAACCACTTAAAATTGAAATGTATTAGAGGAAAGCACATCAAATTTACCTACCAAATATATATATATATATATATATATATATATATATATACTACACGAGAGAGAGAGTAGTTACG